CACGGAGAACGGCAAAACGCTCCGGGTGCACACATGCTGTCAGAGTTTCACTTCAGTTGAACGTCATATCGTCGCTGCTAGTGGGTTTGAGAACTCCAACAAACAACTTCGAACGCTGCTTGTACACGGATGCCTTGGTTCGCTCACGTGTTTGCGGTGCTTGCCAGCCTGCAAAGGAAGGAGTGTTTGTTGCATGTGGGGCTTGTGCAGCTAAGCAGCCTCGTGATTGCATATGTTCAGGCATCGCTTATCTGCATGGTAATGTGAATTTCGAACTCTTGTCTGAATTCGTCTCAGGTATTCGATCTCCAGAGAACCCCGTGCACCAACCATTTGACCCCGACGACCAACGCAAATTGCAAGAATCGTTGGAAAAAGGTGTCGCGGTGTTTCTCAACCTGCAGACTTCAAGCAGCACGAGTGTTTTGATGCGTTGCCGCCATCTCGTTCGTCTGATCTACATTGCTGCTATGACGGGCTTGGCAGCAACTGTAGACGCTGCAGCGCCATACCTGGCTACCAACAACTTGCGAGGCCTGAGGCACTACCTCGACACCGCAGAGGTTGTGCACCGTGGTGGTCAGCACACGGGGAAAATCTGTCGCGGCAACATTGCAATGCAGCTTGCTCACTTCATGCGGGCTGTCGGCAACAAAATGGCGCGCCTGCTTTCCTCCTGCGCATCTTCGCTGACAACAATCCAGCGGCGACAGGTGCTCCTCAGCCATGTCGACCTGGTCTTCCAATTAGCAAACAAGCGCGAGTGCAGGGTCGACGGATGTGGATCATACAAATGCAAACGACTCTTGGAAATCACCTTGCTGGCTGGGCTGAGTTCCAAATTGATGCTGCCGCAGTTCTTGCTTGGAGACCTCCTGGCTTTGTCTGGTCGGCGGCCAATTCCACATGGCTCTCGCGAGGGCCTGCGAAAGATCATGCCCGGCATGACCGCAAGGATTCGGGAACAGCAGGCTTTGAAAGCGATATCGTTAACGCTCGGCTCCGGCGGTAATGGAAAATCAATTCCTGTCTGCACCATATCAGCAATGTTGTGCTTCTGGAACGACCACAAGAATAACGCGCTGCAATGGGTGCCGGAGTGGGTGCCCAAGATGCCGCCGCAGCAGGCGGCGAGCCGCTGAAGCGCCCGCCCTCGCCGCCGCAGCCACCTTACTTTGGCCTGCGGTGCTTCTCAGCCTGCAGTTGCTTTCGTCGACGCGTCGGTGCTGATGGGGCAGCGCCGTCTCCTTTGCAAACACTTTCAGTTCTTCTACACGCCTCTGTGCTGATGTGGCAACATTTCCCCTCACTGCACCAACTGTCTGACTTTTGCCTGCGGTGCTTCTCAGCCTTCAAATCCTCTTCTAAACACTTCGGTGCTGATTGGGCAGCGCTATCTCCTTTGCGTGCACTTAGAGCTTTTCTGAATGCGTCGATGCTGATGGGGCAACACTGTCTCCTATGCAGACACTTCGATTATTCTGACCGTGTCTTCCTGCCAGAAAAAACATCCATTGATAGCAGACCATCGTTTCAACGCATGACTCATAGGCATAGGTGAAGTAGATACACAATCATTGAGGACATCGCCGAGGCGTGCATTAAAACCGAGCTTCCTTGTATAATTCCTTCCTCCTCCATCACCTCCTTCTCTCACTCCCCCTCCTGTCAGCACAGCACTCGCATAGAGCACAGCACATACACAAACACAGCACCAACATAGCATACATTCACAAACACATACAATAAACGCCGAGTACAAACACCACACACATAAACAGACGCACCCATACACTGCAGACGCTTTGCCCAGCACACTCCCAAACCGTGGCAGGCGTAGCATCTCCTCTTCGCTACAAGGAGTGCGCTGTAAACGCGAGCTCTTTGAAATGCAAGTTCTCAAAGCGCAACAAGCATAGCATTTTCTCAACCATGCATGCAGCTCCCAGGACCTTCCACACGTTGCCATTCTGGCTCCAAAAACTCTTTTGTTCTACGCGACTGACCATCGCACGCGCAACCGTGCCCTGCACGGGGCTACTCAGCCTGTGTCACCGTGCTCTGCACGGTGCTCATCAGCCTGTGCCGCTGTGGCCGCACTGTCTCTGAAAGTGGGCCATCATGGCTACTACTGCAGAACAGCCAACGCCTCCACTGGGCACTCTCACGAAGAGCAGTGCTAAAACCCAAGACTTCTTAGTCCGGGTGTACATGCCAAGGGGGCTCAAGTACTCCTACAAAAGCAAGCGCAATGGCCAGCAGGTCGACGCTATACGATTCACCTGCATTCTGCTAGGAACGAGCTCCGAGCACTATTGCGAGGCGACCCTCAAAAGAACTGCCTCAGAAGTGCATGCTGCTCTAGACAAATTCCGCCCACTCACAGCATGGAAACTCTCCAAGCTTGGCCTGGACGGACAGCAGCAGGACGCTTATATCCGCACGTCTGTTCGAGCGGTGGTCGATCTCAAGCGCACAACGCGCACTCCTGTCCTCCAGAGCTCTCCAGGAGAAATCCCTGGCATCGGCGCCAGCTCCACTGACTACTGTGGCAGACATGATGAACATCAAGTCGCGTCGCTCCTTCGATGTCATGGCAGTGGTTCATTCTGTTGCAGACACTCTCGCTCCCATGGGCCACGGTCCAGTGGCAAATGTCCACCTGGTGGACGGGGGCCAGACGACGCAGTCCAAGACCGCGGAGGTTGTGCTTGCTGTCTGGGGAGAAACTAACATACAGAAATGCAGATCACACAAAGGCGAACCGCTGCTGTTTCTCAACGTAGCGGCCAAATTCGATGGCAAGTTGGAGCTGAACCTGTCACAGGATCGCGCGGTCGATGACGCATGCTCTTGTCCCAGAATGACTGAGCTCAAAGTCCTGGCGGCGCAGGAAAACTTCGCGCAGGGTCGAGAGCAGCTCACGGCCGCCCATGAGGTCACATGGAACCCAGATCACGCTTCACAAGTTCTCACCGGAGACGCTCTCCTGTCCTGCTGTGCCTTTCTGGAGATGGCGTCGGAAGACCCGGGCGCAAATTTGCCACACTTGTTGCAAGTGAGCGGAGTGGGGCTCGAGGGGCCGGACCCTGGCGACTCTGTCGTGGAGAGCAAAGGTCAGCGCGTATTATTCCCCATATCCTAAGGATTGGGGTTCTTGTTATTACTCTGACGCCTCCCACTGCTCCTCCTTCCTCCCGCTCGCGCCTCCCCCCTCCCAATGATAATCACCAGATAAGACAAGACAAGATAAGATACTGCAAGATAAGATAAGATATCACAAGATATGATAAGGTAAGATAAGATATATGACAAGGTAGGAAAATAGATAAGAAAAGACAGCCTATGGAGTAATAAGATAAGACAAGATATGCTGCGATAAGATGAGTTGATATAAGATAAGCTAAGACAAGAAAAGAGATTTCAAGATAAGATAAGATAAGATAGAGGGTAATAAAGGTAAGATAAGATAGGACTCGATAAGATAAGATGAGACTCACTCTCACTCAGACTCACTCACAGTCACATTCACTCACACTCACACTCTCTCATGATCACAAAACGCTGCCAGGGGCATCATTTGGGAGCCCAAGGGGGAGCCACCCTGGCTGATCTCACGAGCCCGTTCGCGCCGATTTTGGTGGGACGTCTCAGCTAGAATTGCCGTTTGGCGCCCCCAACATGTATCTCTTGAGAGCCTCATGGTCACAAAACGCTGCCAGGGACATCATTTGGGAGCCCCAAGGGGGAGCCACCCTGGCTGATCTCACGAGCCCGTTCGCGCCGATTTTGGTGGGACGTCTCAGCTAGAATTGCCGTTTGGCGCCCCGAACATGTATCTCTTGAGAGCCTCATGGTCACAAAACGCTGCCAGGGGCATCATTTGGGAGCCCAAGGGGGAGCCACCCTGGCTGATCTCACGAGCCCGTTCGCGCCGATTTTGGTGGGACGTCTCAGCTAAACTTGCCGTTTGGCCTCCCCAACATGTCTCCCTTGAGAGCCTCATGGTCGCAAAACGCTGCCAGGGGCATCACTTGGGAGCCCCAGGGGGGGTCCACCCTGGCTGATCCACGAGGCCCGTTCGCGACGTGTTGTGGGGATGTCTACAGCTAAAAATGTGCCGTTTTTGGCCTCCCCAACATGTCTCTCTTGAGAGCCTCATGGTCGCCAAAACCTGGACAGGGGCATCATTGGAGCTGCGAGGGGGAGCCACCCCTGGCGGATCTCACGAGCCGTTCGCGCCGATTTTTGGTGGGAACGTCTCAGCTAAAAATTGCCGTTTGGCCTCCCCAAACAGTCTCTCTTGAGAAGCCTCATGGTCACAAAACGCTGCCAGGGCAATCATTTGGGAGCCCCAAGGGGGAGCCACCCTGGCTGATCTCACGAGCCCGTTCGCGCCGATTTTGGTGGGACGCCTCAGCTAGAATCGCCGTTTGCCGTCCCCAACATGTATCTCTCGAGGGCCTCATGGTCACAAAACGCTGCCAGGGGCACCACTTGGGAGCCCCAGGGGGGGTCCACCAGGGGCTTCATAGCCACCAAACGCTGCCAGGGGCAGCATTTTGGCTTCCCAAAGAGGAGTCGACCCGGGCCTCCTAGTCGCCAGACACTGCCAGGGGCACCATTGGGATTCAGACTCGCACCCAGACTCACTCATACACAAGCTCACTCACACTCAGATTCATTTCTTCAGAGTCAGGCACACAAAGACGTACCCATACTCAGACTCACCCACACTCAGGCTCACCTAACCCAGACTCAGTCAGAAGCCAGTAGCGAAGAGAGCAGAGAGGAGAGAGAGAGAGAGAGAGAGCGAGAGAGAGAGAGAGAGAGAGAGAGAGAGAGAGAGAGAGAGAGAGAGAGAGAGAG